GATGGGATCAACTCCACGACGTGGCAACCTTATGGCCACGAAGTGGGACCCAAAAATTGGGCTATAAATAGAGCTCAAGGGGTTCCGGGTTTCATTGCTCAATTCTCTTCTTTCTCGTGCCGAAGCTCTGCATTTTAACCCCCGAAGCCATCCCAAAGCCCCGGTCTTCGCATCCAAGTTCTGAAGGAAGGTCTTACACTCTCGAGAATTCCCGAGAATCCTGAGAAATCCGCTTTCTCCTGTCAAAGTTCTGCTCGGTTTTTATCTCACCATCTTCACTCTATCAAGTGAGTTCATACCCCTATAACTACGTTTTCAAAAGCTTTGTAAATGCTTTTATACACTTTTAAGGGGGGGGGGGGGGAATACAAGTAAACACACGATTATCCTCGTGTGAAAAACATCAATCTTTTGCTATGCTTTTTGTTATGAAATCAATCATATGTGATTTATAACTATCGTACGAAAACGTTCTCATACAACGTATCATGATAACACTTGTCTTTTTGGAATGAAACATGTTGTTATGTAAATATCAAACACTTTATTTATATTTTGAGTATAAATATTCAATAATGTTATTACAAATGTTATTACACTACACTAGGGTTTATCATACAAACGAATCACACTTTTGGAAAAACTATAATAGGTATAGTTTACTAGATATTCATGAGATTCTACATACTATAAATACCATATCCAGGAAATACTTTCATATACAAGAACAAATGGACTTTTCATTCGTAAATCTATTTGATACTAAGTTTTGTGAGACATTCAACTTCACGTACGTTCAAGTATGCAGTTAAAGTCCTATATTATATACCATAATCTCTTGTAGGGAGAGCGTGATTCTTGTGTATAGATCTATACGGGATTGACAATCCCGCACCCAAACTGTTAGCTACAGTTAGACTGGCAAGTCTGGGGTGACAATCGTCATAAGATTCCAACGCCTGAAGAACGTTGTTACGGGCAGTCTGGGTCAATAGCATGGTTATAAAACTCACATGGAGTATTAAAAACACGTTGATTTACGGGATTATCAAATGCCTTAGTGATTTTATACATACATAAATCTACTATTCTAGGCATGAAAAACACTTTTGCATTTCAGTTTTGGAACTTTTAAACTACCACACATTCATAGAAAAACATTGGATTTCTAGAAGCAAACATTTAAATCAGTCGGGTCTTGGTAGAAGACTACCTTTATACTAGTAGGAAATATGGGATTTTCTAGGAGTTTTCAAACATCTACAAACAATTTCATACATATTTATACAAACATTAACATTAAATACTTATGAACTCACCAGCTTAAATCCTGATCTACTCTTTCAAATCTACTTGTATTTCTCAGGGATTTAGTAATACAGGTAAACTTCAGCTTTTGGAGAAGTGACGCTAATGCGTCAGTATAAAACTCATTTTATCATCATATTGTAATTTGTTTTGAAACAAGTATCATTCAACAATGTAACTTTTAATTATATATATGATGGTTGTTTTACTTTCTTTACTATGTATTCAACTGTTACGATACTACATGAAGTCATCCGCCCGCGAACGATTCTTCCGTTCTGGTTTGGGGGTGTGACAGTTGTACAACTCCATGTACACTTGACATCATCTGTCGTAGCTGCTAAAGTTTTTTGGCCATGAGCGGGCTCATTACTGCATCAATATAAATAGAGTTAGTAGTAACAATATTATTATCGATGAAGTTACCTGGATCCTTGTTATTGGGAGTAATGAAGGTTTCGCTAGGATCCTGGGTCGTATGGGCTTGCTCTCTTTGATTTTCACCCCAAGCGGGAATAATGGACAATATTGAGGATCATATCTCACGGCGATTCGCTGAGGATCCCGTCTTATCAAATTTCAGGATCTTGTGCTGCAAGATTGAGGGTGCTGCTTCTTGAGGCTTGTGGATTTCTTCCCTCATTATCTCCACTTCCTTGAGCATTGTCTTATTATCCTCCTGCTGTTGAGTGACTTGTCGTTCCAGTCTCTTCATCATAGCGAAGAATTCTTTATTAGAAATCAACACAGGAGGATCATGAAGTCCTTGGTTAGCGACCGAAGAGATGTTTTTCTTCGGTGCCTCAAAGGCTTTCTTGTTAGCTCCCTGTAACGCTTGGTTCCTGGTACGCATTTAAATTATAATTTATTCATTTTTGTGGAACAACTCGACGAGTTGGGAGCCCCAAACTCGTCGAGTAGAAATCAGAATGGACGCGGGTTTTAAGTAACCTACTCGACGAGTTGAGAGCCCTCAACTCGATGAGTAGGGCTGCCATAATGAAACCTTAATTTCGAGGATTTTCACCCTATTTAAGCATCCTAATCCCCACTTGCTGGCCTCATTTACAGCCTCCAGGTCCCAAACCCTAGATTCAGAAACCCTAATGCATTTGTGAGCTTGTGAGACATTTTGAGTGAAACCTGGTCTATTTTGAAGCTTGTGAAGGAAGGAGAAGCTTGGGGATTCAAGAAGAAGCTAGTAGATCCAGAGACTCCATCTCATCCTCAACATTTTCTAGTAATCAAGTCTCGAACTTGCTTAGTAGCTTCTTAGATCACTTTATTATCATTTTATTGAGTTTTTGGTCCAAGAAGCTTGATCATTGGGATATAGATGTGCCAAGTGAGTATACCTTCGAATCTGGAATCATGGAGGGCTTTCATGGCATAAAGGTGCAAACTCTATGGCTATTAAAGCCCCATACAAGCCATAAGATGTCATTTTGGCCTTTTAAGCTCCAAAAGGCCATGCATAGAGTGAAAGGTGGTAGTTTTACATGTTCATGTAGTGTTTAGGGTCTAGATCTTTGCTTGTATGCTTTAGTTTGGAGTATGGATGGCGTGTTAACCAAGATCTAAGACCTAAAGAGTTAGGGTTTGAGCTAAACCCATTAAGTAAAGGTATTATCGGGTAAAGTTGGAAACTTTACCCTTAAAAGGACATTTTCAGTGTATGTCAGATGCATGAAGCTTAGATCTGAAGAGTAGGGGCTTAATCCATTAAGATGGCCCAAACAGACTGAGGAACTCGTCGAGTCCATAGACGGAATCGACGAGTTGAGTCGATTCGTCCAGATTCTGAATAGTGTAGAACTCGACGAGTCTGAGGAGGGACTCAACAGGTTGACTCGCTTTATCACGACTACGAGTAGCAAGGGAACTCGGTGAGTCAGGGGGATGAATCGACGACTTGGATCACAATTTCAGGGTTCCTTATTTATGGAACTCTGCGAGTTGATGGTTCAACTCGGCGAGTTGAGACAACCTAGAATGTTGACCTTGACCAGGGGTAAAATGGTCATTTTACCCTAAGAAGGATTATTGGATTTTGACTAATTGTTATTGTGATAATGATAGTTGGGGAGTCGTTGGAGCTGCCGTTAGAGATTTCGTCACCACGAGATTTCACAGTCAGCTTTGCGAGGTGAGTTTTACTCCAGTAGGAACGGGTCGAAGGCACCAATGTTGGTCCGTTTATGTATGCTAGTTTATGTCGGACTAAGTTTCGATGCGGGGATATGCCCGATGTAGGTAGGTACGATGCGGGGATATGCCCGATGTAGGTAGGTCCGATGCCGGGATGTGCCCGATGTAGGTTTATATGCTTCTGGATTTTGGTGTGATGATGGGCAAGCCCGAGGAATGTTTGTATGCTTGATGTCTTCGTGATTCCTGCATGTGTCTGTTAGAATGTTTCCGGACTTCGGTTTGATGTCGGGGAAAGCCCGAGGAATGTTAATATATATGATAGATGTTTATGTTTATATGTATTTGTTGCTATGCTTATGTATACCGAGCTTTGCTCGATGCCGGGCGGGGCCCGATATCGGATTTCGGTCCGATCCCGGGCGGGGCCCGATGTCGGACTATGGTTCGATGCCAGGCAGGGCCCGATGTAGTGGGCTAGGCCCTAGTTATGTTGTTATGTGATTATGTGATATGTGTATGGTATGTGGTAGTTTCGGGGGACTCGCTAAGCTTTGTGCTTACAGTTTTCAGTTTTGGTTTCAGGTACTTCCGCTAGTAAGGGGAAGAGCTCGGGATGACTGCATTGCACACACCACAATGTTTAGCCTGGGATGATTTACTCTGATATTTGGACATGTGATTTTGATACAGTGTTTTGATATGATGTTTTGAAATATTATCACTTATGTTTATGATATAATTTGGATTACTATGGTTTTATTTATTAATGAAAATGATTTTTTTGGACCGTATTTTTGGGATGTTTCACTCCCCCTGGGGGTGGAGGAAGATTTTCATAAGAAATGGGAGGAATGGAGGAAGACGATAAGTTCGATTGGGTATACATGATTCCCGAATGATTATGAACACCACGACCCCACCATGGGCGGCAAATTGTTTTGGTCAAAAATCGACTAAGTGGAATTCATCCAAATTGTATGAGAGGTTGTGATGTTCGTAGTAAATCAAGAATGAAATGATGATCAAAGTGACACAAGTAAGTTACAAGGAAAGCCCTTGATCCTTGATAGGATATACGACATAAAACATTGGGAGGTGATCATATTCACCGGCCTTGATGTTTTTATTGATATAAAAAGTTGATTTACAGGGATGAATATGCAAAAGTAAGTAGAAGTATCGTAGATAAGTCAAATGTGTGTGTGGTATGTTGTTACATGTGTTATTTATAATCTAATGTTAATAACAAGAAGTCCGATAATTCTGGGATCCTCCAAAATCAACATATGAATGGTTTTTGAATTGGTATTCTTTGTATTTTGCCTGGATGAGGTGACTCTCTATTGATAATGGGTATTGTGTTGACTAGTTCCGTACATGTGAGATAAAAAGAGAAAATATTGTCGTTACATGTGTTAGAAATATTAGTGATAATAGTCTGGATCCCAGGATATATTTAAGGATCTTGAGGCTTTATAAGTATTTGAGGATCCTGAATATGAGTCAAGGATCATGCCCCTAACACCAGCCTAAGGGGGAGGATGACTTTGAGTCGACTTAAATTCCAGGGCCAACCATCGAAGAGGTCATTCCGACTTCTTCCCGGAAAAGGCAAAATGAAGAACACTCCCCGCAAATGTGTTGTTATCCTCAGCCGGAAAAGGGCTGCTTCATCACCTACCTCACATGTGGCTCCTAAAAAGCTACGCATGATTCCACGATGGATGACACAAATCAGAGAGTGGAACGAGGAGCTGGTGATAGGTTCCATATTTGAGGTTAGCGAGTCTTCTCGGGCTCCACCACCTGTTCTTAATCTAAAAACACTCATCAATGCAGCTATACCAGTGTTACTATCACGATCCACTCGTCACACAGAATAGATCGGAACCATCAGTGAAGAGCTAAGGACGGTTAGGGGAAACACACAGGGACTAGCAAGAGAGTTTGGAGTTTGGAGGAGGACAATGCGTTGGATGAAGAGAGTATCCAACTTATTTTTATCGGTTAAACATATCTTTGTCTAAGAAGATGATACATGAGACACTGATAACAGGGCTAGAGCTTCTGATATAGGTCATGGACTAGAGAGTCATTGCGGTTGTGGATAGGGCTTACGCATCAGAGCGGAGGGCTAAGTCAAAACAACAATAAAACACACATATAGTTGCTCTACTGGGTATTATTTTTAGTATATGGTAGACCCACCCAGGCGGGTTGTGCTTTGAGAAATATTTTTAAGTTGCGACTCTCTCCCTGGTTCTGATGGTCACGAAGATTGACACGAAGCATCCTATCAATGATATAGGTGATAACTTTGTTTGAGCTTATCCCTCTGGACACAGATCTCTTCCTTCTTGGACAACCTATCTATGTTGAAAGAGGATGAAGTGAAGCTAAGTAACGTAGCACGTCTAATTTCCATACACGTTTTCATTGCTACTCCGATTCCCACCTAAATTCCAAAGACCTCCACAACAAGACGGTGCTTCTCATCTCTTATATCATGGATCACAATGTATGAAACCTTCGAGCTTTGTCTTGCTGATTCTCATAACTCAAAGGTTGCAAATAGTGGATCCTTTTAACTCGATGGTTACTAAGACTTGTTCATGTTCTTGTATTGTTCTTGGTGAACATGAAGCTTGGAATCAATCTGCAATACTTTAACGATTAAAGGGATTTTCTCTCTTTGGTTACTATGAATTGTGTTTTAGTTTGATATTTTTTATCTTGTTTGCTTATTCTTCTATAGAAAGTCTTGAGGGACAAATATCTCATAAAAAGGAAGTTCATTTATGTCCTTTCAACTCAAAAGATTTGATGAATCGGGTCTTTATCTTGTTTCTGAAAAAGCTGCACAAATATTGCTTTTTTGAATATTTCCTTGTTTGACTATCTGTTTTGTTTTTATTCTTATATTATTTATTATTTTTTCTTGTACAATTTTTAATGAATTGACACCAAACTTCAAAGTTCTAGACTGCAACTCAACTCTATGATACGAAAGTTGAACCACTTATTGCTAATTAGCTGACACTGTTTATGATTCACGCTAATTCCACCTCAGGATGACTAAAACATTCCGTTCTCTCCTCAAATTCTCCTCAAATTAACTTCTCAATAAAACACTTTGTAGACAATCACACGCACCAACCCCTTCTTGCCCTTAAATTATTCTTTAAAGCTTTATGATTCAATGTTATGTACAATACACTGATGAGAGCTTGAAAAATCTGTGTCGATGGCTAAGCTAAAACAACACAGCTTGTCACACAAACCAATCCATTCTCACCATATATTCTTGTTTAGAACTTTGTGATTCAACATATGAAGCCCGACGCTGATGAGAATTCGAAAAATCTATGCAGATGGGTATATCATTATCCGTGATATATTACATTCACCTACCCATTCTTTCCCAACAATTATTCTATTATAGAAGTTAATGATTCACTGTATTACCCATACACTGATAAAACTTTGACACTCTTTTTCGTTGGGTACAATTTATCTCGGAATGTATTACACGCATCATTCCATTATTGCCCTTTATTCTTCTAATAAAAGTGGTTAATGAGTCAGCTATAAAACCATATGCCGATGAGACCTCACAATACTATGTCGACGAATGATAGTTTAAACCCATACTATAAGGAAACATCACAAACTCTCTGGATTCCCAGCTTCAACTTTGATACGTTGATTGCTTCCACTGATGACTATTTCCGCTAATGCAATGTCTCATTGATGTAACGATTTTATCTTAACGGTAACTTTTGGATGACGATTAAAACATTTATCAATATCTTGAGTTTGGAGATTTTTACGGTGCCGATCTCTTCAATCATGATTACATAAAAGGGAAGAAAATTTACAGATAAATTTGGAAAATTATCCCGTAGGTCATTTTCACAGTTCATTCAAGCAGTTGATTTTCTTTCTCGGAAAAGGCTCCCTCGACCATCATCGTCCTCAAGCTCTCATCATGTCAAAGGTTCGGTACGAGTTTGCTCCTAACGCCAATGTCGTCAAACTCCCTAACGCCCCCGATTCTCCCATTGTTATTCATGAAAACAATGTGGCATTCCCTGATGTTATCCAAAAATAGTTCATGAACTTAGGAATTGAAGACTATGTCAACTATGTGAAAAGATACCCTGTTCGATATGCCTTATGCTACTTCCCAAAGCCATTCTACCATAAGCAAGTATGTGAGTTCTATTATTCCTACTCTCTTGATTCTAGTGCTCAAGCCATTACTAGAACCATTGGAGATGGTTAATCTAGGGTTACTATCAATGCAGAATCCTTTCGAACAACTCTTCGTATCCCCTATCAAAAAATATGTTGATACCCCTTCTGAAGAAAGATGCAAGTCTATTCGTTCAAGATTAGGCTATAAATCTTCCCTTCAGGGCACCTATCGTGATCCTACCAAATACACCCTCTGTCAATGTTATGATGTGGGTTGGAAGTACTTATCTGAGGTGATTGGTAAATGCCTTGGATACAAAATTGGGAGCTTAGATCAATTGAAACTATTTGAGTAAAGAATTTTGTATTCCATGGCATGCAACAAAAGACTGAATTTGTCTCAAATCTTTCTTGATCAATTGATTAAACATATCACTGGGAACAAGAAGTAAGCATAGGTTCCTTATCCTCGTTGCCCTGGTCTAATTTTGGCTCGTAATGAAGAGGGTTATAATATCAGTCATGGAATCATCATTCCCATTCCTTCCCTCTCCTCAAAGGTCATCAATGTTGCTCCTTCTGATGAAGATAAGCATCTTACCCAGAGAATGGGAAGTTAGGTTGAAGATGAAGATAACGAGGAAGGAACTGATGATGAAGAAGACACTGATGATGAAGAAGATTAACTTTCCACTGAAAAGGGAGAATCGTCTGTTGAGGGATTTAATTCTCCTCCAAGAGAGTAATGATCAGGCCTTCTCAAACACTGGTGATCAATCTGAGACTGATAAGTATGAAAGGTTTCTTGATTTGGGGTTTATGGCACAAGTTGCTATTCCTTTGAGTGTTGTTTACCCTGATACATATTTCGAGGGGGATATTACTCAAGGAACCAACAACAACATAGAGTCTGATGATGAATAACTAAATCTTAGAAAGAGGAAGGCTTCCTTCTTAGGGGTGGCAAATGACGTTGAAGCTGGAAGTTCCTGCGCCGCTGGTAATTCTTCAACCCCTCCTCCAAAGATATGTAGGCTGACAGTTGACTTGGAAGATTTAACAGTAGATTGGCGAATGGCTATTAAAGAATTCAGAGAAATCATGTTGGAACATACTGCTTTGGTTAAAAGAAGAAAAGATGAACGTCAGTTTGTCAAACTTGTTCAACACCTTGCTTCAACCACTACTTAACAGACCAACATTTAGTGTTTTAAAGTTGATGTAGCCAAAAGAAACAAAGTATCTAAACTGAGTGATCGAATAAATCTGAAGAAATTTGGTAATGTTGTTAGAAGAAGATACCAACCTCATCCCATCATCAAAGTAAGATGCACTAAACCCAAAAACGAATCTATGAATTTTCATCTGGTGAGAACAAAACTGAGTATGAATACACTGAACTCATATTTGCCCGTGAGTTGCTTATATATGGCTATAACAAGTGGACATAAATCCAGGAGATAATCTCTAAACACAAAGGTGTTCATGCTCAGGAGGTAAAGTTGGCCATTCAAACCCTGATAAAAAAGTTAATAAGTTCAACTTAGTTCCTTCAGTTAGTCCATCCCAACCATCCAATTCAGAAAGAACTAGCAGGCCTAGAATGTCAAATTACACTAAGTTTCTTCTTCCATATGAAACTAGCTACATCAACAACAAGCTGCCAATGGGTGTTGAGCTAGTGCATCACATGTACATTTGGGAACCAGAACATGGTATTTTCGATATTGACAACATAAACCAAATATGATTTCAAAGAACTAAACACCTTCCTAATGCTCCCACTGAGCATTTATTCAATCTTCGTCTGGAGGGGATGCGACATAAAGAGTAGGAAAGAGGATATCATGTGCTGATCTCTTTTGAACTTAGTAAGCATCTTATTGATCTTCATCTTGATGACATCAAGTGGTTAAAGCCTGCGATATTGACTGAAGCTGAGAAATTCTCAAATGATAACGTTGATGGAATATGTTATGTCTGTTATTCAATGTAATCAATATCTGTGATCCATGAAAAATACGACATACATGCCGATGTTTCCACAGTCGGCCATGGTTGTGATAGATTTGTACGAGACATATTAGCTATAACGAACTTTTATTTTCTTAGGAAATTATGACTATAGCTTTAGGCTTACTACTATAATTACTTTTATACCTTAAGCCTAATAATAAATGTATTATTATTAATTACACTACTGACATATCACTTACGGGAGACAGGTCTAGTTTGGACTTCTTGCCTTCAGTTGTTGGATTTCGGAACAACTGTAAGTCAAAATGGTCCTGCCCTCCAACTTTTCCTACCTGATTGATCCTTACTAGATAGTTTGGAAGTACAAAAGAAGAATTAATAAAACACCCAAACATAAATCATATATCGATTTATATATATAAACTATGTTCCTCGATGAAAAAACACTTATATATATATATATATATATATATATATATATATATATATATATATATACTGTTAGGGGCAAAATCCTTAATCCTATTAAGATCTCGGATCTTAAAGTAGTCTCAGCATCTCAAACATACATCAGGATCCTGAACATCGCCATTATTATTTCCTAACAAGTTTAACGACTATATTTCTTGTTTATTTATCACATGTGCATAAATGGTCAACATAAGACTCATTCACAATGAAGAATCACTTCAACTAGGCTTAAAACCTA